TTCCCCTTCGACTATAACGAATTGAAAGATTTAACACTGTGAGTACCACAAATAGAAAGTTAAGATAAAAATAATTCAGTGAAATTTTGGAACCGTAGCTTCCATTTTCCCTAAATTTTATTTGCAAAAAGAAAAAAATAAATGCTTTAATACCGTACTTACGAGAATTACGATGCGGCAAGGAGAGAAGGTAAGTGGCAGAGTAGTAATATAGAAGAAATCCGTGTGCATTTTATTAATTTGAGGTCCACCGACAGCTACTTAATTTTTGTCGGAGAGAAGCAACCGGCAATAATAGGTAAGAGGAAGATCAGTAGTTAGTTAGTACAGGCTGTTCACAACAAGTAGAGTCCATCCCGACACGCTACTACCTAATAGCTGCTACGTGTCTTAATCTCATTGGGTAAAAATTTAGAAAGAAAAGAAAAATTAGCAATTATGCTACATGTACATTATTTTTGACAGTGTGCTACGTGGTAATACATTATTGAATTTTTTTTAAAAAAATACTTTCTCGCCCACAACTTTTTGAACTACAATGGGACGTATACAATGATGTCAACCAAACAATGTACACTTAACATTATTCAAAAATTAAGAATAAAGCTATGTGTACACAATTTTTTACATAATGTTATACACCCCCTTACATGGGCCCCCCTCCATGTGAGGGGGGTGTAAAACATTGTGTGTACATATAGCACCAACTTGTACACATATTCTCTACGTCTTGAATTACACTCTTTTACGTGTCAAAAATCTGATGATATATTGAAAAAATATTATTTAAGGTGTGTTTGAGCCATATTATTTTGGAAGAATGTATTTTGAAATAATAGATTGATAGAGAATGTGTTGTTGAAAAAGAAGGAAAAGTTATTGATGTGATGAAATATGTTATTTTATTGAAAAATGTATGGTTGAAAATGAGTAGAAGAATGAGAATAAAAAATTTAATTTGGCTCAAACAGGGACTTCAATGGCCTTGTTTGCCTTGGGCCTTGTTTGCCTTGGGCCAGGCCGGCCCTGGGCGTATGGTTCTCTTCACAGGAGAAATTTTCCTGCTTGGCCCCTGTTTCATTTTTCTCTCTCCTATCATCAATCACACATTCTCTTGCTCAAACAAGGGCTTATGATAATGTTACTGTTAATATCAAACCATTATGCTTTTGTTTGACTCGCATTTTGTTTTGCAAAATACATTTTTTCAACCACAAATTCTTTAATAAAACAATATAGCACGCAATTTAAAAATTTTTCCTTTATTTTTAATTAAACATTCTCTATCAATACTACTTCAAAATACATTTTACACGAGTTCAAACAGACTTTATATCAATGCTATAGGGATAGGGTAAATGACAGGAAAAAATACACACATACACAGATACACTTAGAGATGGCAAAGGGAAGGGGTTCGAGGCGGGTCCCGCCCCACCCCACCCCACCTCACCTCAGACGTGGCGGGGCGGGTTGGGTTCGGGGAGCGGGCTTGCACCGTTTATTTTTATTTTTTTTCAAAAACTTCAAATTAACTATTTTTTGTTTTTTTAATTTATAGTTAATTATTTTTTTAATCTTCACGGGGCGGGTTTGGGGTGCTTCGAGGAGGGGCACCCCTCCCCGCCCCGCCCCGCCAAACAGACCCATCGGGGCGGGTTTTTTTGCCATCACTACATACACTTGGCATTTTCTCATTGACAATTAAGGCCCCGTTCGGGAAGGATTAAAAGCCAATTAAAATTGAAAATATGGCCGTTATTGGGTCCCACTCGCCTAATAAAAGTCAACAATAACGACTATATTTTCAATTTTAATCTGATTTTAATCCCTCCCATACAAGGCCTAAATAAAAATGAGGTCCTGGTTGCACTTCAATTCCATAGAAAATAGAAATTAAATTCAATTTTTCACATTGTGAAAAGATTTTCTAGACAACTTTTATTATTATTATTTTTTAATATTTTAGGCAATGGAAACAAATTTTATCACAAATTGTAACAAATTTTATTCCCTTAATGGACAATTTTTATGAAAACAAAGTCAGACGAATATCAAAAGATCCAAAATTTCAATATTTTTCAGGTGAAAAATTATATCAATTAAGTACAATTAATTGACAATTCATAGTAAAACAAATTCTAGACAATTCAATTCTCTGAAATTCAGTTTCTTTCCACCTAAATTTCATTCTTGCAATCAAACGGACCCTTAAAGAAAAAATTCAAAATAAAAAACCCACACTTCACTCCCTGGAAAATGCCCTTGTCATTGACCTGTTTGTTTAGTTTTTTTGTATTATCTCATGTTTGAGTCACATTAAAATTTTTATTTTCATTCTTTTACTTATTTTCAACAACACATTTTTCAATAAAATAATATTTTTCATTACATTAATAAATTTTTTTTAACCACATATTCTTTATCGCTATTTCAAAATATATTCTTTCAAATTAGTATGACTCAATCCCTCCAGCCCCTCCTCAACTGTACTCGTGTGGTGAGGTGAGCGAGAGGCAGGCGAATGATGTGAATAAATAATGGTGTTTGGTTGATACTTTGGCTTTGAATTCGAGATTGATGTGATGTTCCATCTGTCAATTTATTAGTCAAACAAAACCAATCAATCACACTATTCAGCCGAACCGAAATAATAATTTAAATAAAATAAGTAATTTAATTACATATTTTATTTTACTCATCATTTATTGTCATATTAGCGACACATAGATTAGTACCATAATCCCAGAAAGGCTAAATTACATTATTCAAAAAAAAAAAAAAAGCAAAGAATTGCAAGTAATTAACACGAGTCTATTCTCGTTTAAGCCCCTGTTTGATGTGGATTAAAATAAAAGTTTTAGTAAATTTTAATAAAAGTTGAAAAAATATGTAGTTGAAAAATTATGAGATCCATGAAATAAATGGTTGAAATTAATTATTAACTTTGATTTAAATTAAAATTTTAATTTTAATTTGTACCAAACGCAACCGTGTTTGATAAAGATTAAAATCAATTTTTTTAGTAAATTTTGATAAAATATGTGGTTAAAAAATTGTGAGTTCCACTATTGACATCATTTTACTTTAATTTAATTTATTTTTCATACTCATTTTCAACTATACGTTCACGCAATAAAATATTCTATACGTAAATCTAAAAATTTTCTCTATTTTTTAATTATACACTCTTCAAAATATATTTTGAATATTTTTTAAATTTTAAGGATGTCAAAGTTCAAACAAGGTTAAATAATATTATTAAAAAATAAGGGCTAACAAAATCATAAATATTATTCTTATTTTTTTCTTTTCCTCCATCACCTAACGTCATTTTAGAATTATTTCAACGATCAACCATTGAGGGCATAACATTTATAATTGAAATACATTTTAAAAAATAAAGAGTCGATTTATTTTTATACATTTTTTACTTTGTTTTCAATTAATTTTAAAAATAGTTAAAATATGGTCGAATTCAATATTTTGGGTTAACCGACGAGGAATTGTCCATTTCCCCTTCGACTATAACGAATTGAAAGATTTAACACTGTGAGTACCACAAATAGAAAGTTAAGATAAAAATAATTCAGTGAAATTTTGGAACCGTAGCTTCCATTTTCCCTAAATTTTATTTGCAAAAAGAAAAAAATAAATGCTTTAATACCGTACTTACGAGAATTACGATGCGGCAAGGAGAGAAGGAAAGTGGCAGAGTAGTAATATAGAAGAAATCCGTGTGCATTTTATTAATTTGAGGTCCACCGACAGCTACTTAATTTTTGTCGGAGAGAAGCAACCGGCAATAATAGGTAAGAGGAAGATCAGTAGTTAGTTAGTACAGGCTGTTCACAACAAGTAGAGTCCATCCCGACACGCGACTACCTAATAGCTGCTACGTGTCTTAATCTCATTGGGTAAAAATTTAGAAAGAAAAGAAAAATTAGCAATTATGCTACATGTACATTATTCTTGACAGTGTGCTATGTGGCAATACATTATTGAATATTTTTTTTTAAAAAAATACTTTCTCGCCCACAACTTTTTGAACTACAATGGGACGTATATAATGATGTTAACCAAACAATGTACACTTAACATTATTCAAAAATTAATCTACTTGTACACATATTCTCTACGTCTTGAATTACACTTTTTTATGTGTCAAAAATCTGATCATATTATTTAAGGTGTGTTTGAGCCATATTATTTTGGAAGAATGTATTTTGGAATAATAGGCCCCCATTTGACACCCATTTTTTATCTCATTCTCATTTTCATTTTTCTACAGTACTCCTTTCTAACCACACATTCTCCAAATAAAATAATATTACACATAAATCCAAAAATTCTTCTTACTTTTTAACCACACATTCTTTACATCAATCACTATTCAAAAACTAATTCTTCAAAATAATTGGTGTCAAACGGGGGCTATATATTCATCAAGCTCAAGTAGAACTTGAATTATATAGCTCTATTTATAGAGAATAAAAATGGGTGTCAAACACCCACTAGATTGATGGAGAATGTGTTGTTGAAAAAGAAGGAAAAATTATTGATATGATGAAAAGTATTATTTTATTAAAAAATGTGTAATTAATAATGAGAATTAATTTACTGTAGAATTTTGAGAATCCTTCTCAAACAGGACCGTAGTTGTACATCCTATAAGCCAGTGCTTCTTACGAGCCAACCCGAGTTCAAGCGAAGTACTGTCTACTGGTTGAGTCGGTATAAAATCCTTAGGTTATTATTAGAAAAGAAAAATAATTCCCCGAGAAAATAATAAAAAGACATGGTCACAACACATGCAGTTCAAGAAGTAGAGGCACAGAAGGCCAATTTGTTTAGTCCTAAATCACAATAGCAATGCCTTGTGCCTCTCTCACACTCACACTAACGTTTACCCTGAAAGTTTGTCCAGATTTCTATTGGATATAATTTAATCATCACTACTGTTTATCACAATCTTGATTGTACTGTATTTGAAAGAGAAGATGGAAGCAAATAGTGGGATGGTGGCTGGATCTTACAAGAAGAATGAGCTTGTTAGGATTCGCCATGATTCTGATAGTGGGGTATGCTTTTTTAGAATTTAATTTGTATTTTTCATATATATTTTTTTTGATTGAATATTGGTGTTCAGATCCGTTGGTGATAGAATTCAAGTGAGTTTCAGCTAAAGTTTGGATCTTTTAAGAAAAAAATTGTGGTGGATTTTGGTTTTGTTGTATTTTTTTTTTTTTTGGTTGGGGGGTGGAGAGTGGGTTCTGGCCTTCTATTTTTCAATGATTAAAATTAGATCTAACTTGCATTCTCTTGATTTGATCTATTTGCTATTACTTGACTAGAGAACCATCAATTTTATTCCTTATCCGATCTTGCTTGGTTTTGCTATGTTATTACAAGTTTTGTATTTATTAACTTCTTAGATTATGTGGTGGATTCTCGAAAGAGGATTCTTTTGGGTGAAGTTGCCCGCCTGTTGCATGTCATTTCCTTTTCACACAGCTTGATTGGCTCAGCCTGCACCCGATTCCCGTCTCCATGTATCTCTTTGAACTTTCTCACGTTGTCTCTCTGTGAATAATTTTGTTTGGCTGGAGTTTTGCACTTTGGTTGCTGAGAATGAATTTAGCATTTGTGCTCCCTTTCGTATCTGATGTATTTGATTTTTGAGGAATTAATTTCATCGGAATTTCTGTCCTAATTAACTTATTTCCTATGTATTAAATGGCAGCCAAAGCCTCTGAAGAATTTGAATGGCCAACTATGTCAGATTTGTGGAGATTCTGTTGGATTGACTGCCGACGGTGATATCTTTGTTGCTTGCAATGAATGTGGCTTTCCAGTTTGCCGACCTTGTTATGAGTATGAGAGAAAAGATGGAAATCAGTCCTGTCCCCAGTGCAAAACTAGATACAAGAGACACAAAGGTTTGTCTCCGTTCCAAATTCTTGTGTTCCTTCTTTTGTTTAGAGTAACAGTCAGGACTTTATATATCCTTGATCTGCAGGAAGTCAGCGAGTTGATGGTGATGATGACGAGGATGATGTTGATGATTTGGAAAACGAGTTCAATTATTCTCAGGGAAAGAGCAAAGCTAGATCCCAATGGCAGGGAGAAGAGGTTGAGCTCTCTTCATCTTCTAGACGGGAATCTCAGCATCCAATCCCTCTCCTTACCAATGGGCAGCCGGTAAGTGATGTAAATAAAATTTTATGCAATTTAGAATCCATTAACATCAAACATAACATGTCCTAAATCTGCACTATTGCAGTATGATATTGAAATGGACAAAAACAAAAAAAACAGAACTCATGTTCTGGTGCAATGACAACCAATGTGTTGGGTTAATTTAGTTCACTCAGTATAGTAAACTCTGGAAGTATGTCAGGTTTTTTTTTTAATCTGACTAGAAAAATGATTGAAGTAGTGTGTGCAAATTTTGTATATCATGCCGTTTAGTAGGATAAACTCTGGATGCACATTGATTGTTTGCTCGTGATTTCTTTTGGTCCCACATACTGTATTGTCTGCTATGCTGATAACTTATACCTTGTTCAATGCGAAGTTATGAACATTGTCTCAATTTTGTCAATTTCAATGTTGCTCGAGCTATTGGCTGAGGATCATAAGTTTTGAACTGCAACTTTTCTGGTGCTATATACCTATTCCTTGCTTGGTTCATTTCACAGAATTATCCTCGTTTTAAGTATTATTTGAATAAGATTCTACTCTGGCAACTACATCCTTTTTCTATTGATGTTTTTCCTTATTTTTCATTGTCTTTATTTATCTTTTCTTTTACTTCTACTTATTGAGAACGGCCAACTGTACATCATCATTAGTATAATAATGCAAGACATTGGGAGATCTTTCCTTCTTAGCCCCCGTTTGTACTCCATTTTTTTCAAAAATGCATTTTCAACTACATATTATCCCATAAAATTATGCTACACGTAAACCCAATTTTTTTCTTATTTTTTAACCAAACATTCTCCAAAAAATCACTATTCCTGAACATTTTAACATTTCATTAACTGAATATACGGCATTAATACATTTTTTCTCATCTACGTGTAATCAATAGGTTTCCGGTGAGATTCCCAGGTCTATAGCAGACACTCAATCTGTAAGAAGTACATCAGGACCTCTGGGCCCTGGAGACCGTGTTCACTCCCTTCCATATATTGATCCAAGGCAGCCAGGTAAGCTACTTATGGTCATTTGGCTAAAATCCCCCCCCCCGCAAGTTTGACTAATGGCATTGTCAATAACTGCAGTTCCTGTGAGAATTGTTGACCCTTCAAAAGACTTGAATTCTTATGGGCTTGGAAATGTTGATTGGAAGGAGAGGGTGGAAGGTTGGAAACTAAAGCAGGAGAAAAATGTGGTGCACATGAACAACAGATACGGTGAAGGGAAAGGAGATATTGAAGGCACAGGTTCAAATGGAGAAGAACTGCAGATGTAAGTATCTTAACTCTTATTATTCAGGAACATGGTAACGATGAATGTGAAAATGTCTGGTTTCAGTTTCTGTTCTAACATCCACATAATCAAATTTTTTTCCTCTATTAGTATGGGTTGACTAGTTTAAGAACGGAGATGAACTCTACTTTGCTCTAGTTTCCATTTTGGAGCATTTTTATCTATATATCCATGATTTTTTTTGCTTCTATCTGCGTAGATTTACATCATATTATTAGTTTAACGAATCATTTGTGCAGGGCTGATGATGCTCGTCAACCATTGAGCCGTGTTGTTCCTATATCTTCTACTCATGTTACTCCTTATCGTGTCGTAATTATTCTTCGACTGATTATCTTGGGCTTTTTCTTGCAATACCGTTGTACTCATCCGGTGAAGGGTGCTTATCCTTTGTGGCTGACTTCAGTTATTTGTGAGGTCTGGTTTGCCTTATCCTGGCTTCTGGATCAATTTCCAAAATGGTACCCCATCAACCGTGAGACCTACCTTGAAAGACTTGCGTTGAGGTTAGTGGACTTCTTGTAACTCTTAAAGTCAAATACCCTTCACCGTTAAGTTTGGGTAAAACTTATCAGTTCTAAGCTTAAGCATTCTTTGGGTAATATTGATTTTTTTCTTTCCTCAGATACGATAGAGAGGGCGAGCCTTCTCAATTAGCGCCTGTTGACGTGTTTGTCAGTACTGTGGACCCCATGAAGGAGCCTCCTCTTGTTACTGCCAACACCGTGTTGTCCATCCTTTCTGTGGATTACCCTGTGGACAAAGTCTCCTGTTATGTCTCGGATGATGGTTCAGCAATGCTCACGTTTGAAGCCCTCTCTGAAACTGCAGAATTTGCTAGGAAATGGGTGCCTTTCTGTAAGAAGCACAATATTGAGCCCAGGGCCCCTGAATTCTACTTTGCTCAGAAGATAGATTACCTCAAGGATAAGATTCAGCCTTCCTTTGTTAAAGAGCGCAGGGCAATGAAGGTAAATGAAAACATATTCATCCTGCTCAATATGATTTCTGAAACTATTCCCCGGTCTAAGTTATAAGTAAATTGAATGAAACTCGTGAGCAACTACTATACATTGGAAAAACAATTTTTGCAGAGAGAATATGAAGAATTCAAGGTACGCATCAACGCACTAGTTGCAAAAGCTCAAAAGATGCCTGAAGAAGGATGGACAATGCAAGATGGAACCTCCTGGCCTGGAAATAACCCCCGAGATCATCCAGGAATGATTCAGGTATTGTATTCTATTGCTTGACTATTCAGAATATATTTATTTACATCTTAGTCTGATTCATTAGCCCATTCTTATGGATTGACAGGTCTTTTTGGGGCACAGTGGGGGCCTTGATACAGATGGAAATGAGCTCCCTCGTCTGGTTTATGTTTCTCGTGAGAAGCGTCCAGGATTTCAACATCACAAGAAAGCCGGAGCTATGAATGCATTGGTGAGTTGATTCTCGTAACTACTATCGTATCTAATAATTTTATGTTGAACATTATTTGTTGTTGCCAATTCTTGTTGTCCTCAAAGATTAGTTCTGTAACTTTAAACCAAATGAAGTTACAAATGATGATGTTGGTGAATAACCAATCGCATGATTTTACCAAGTTGAAGAGTTACTTTATGATAACATTAGAAGTTTGCTCTATCAGAACTTTTTGTCTACACCGTATTATAGCTGATGGTAGCTAACTTCAAAAGGACGAACAAGAAAGATTAAAGAAAACTTTTGTCCTCAATATTGGTATTTTTTAAATACTTTTGGTTGAGATTATTTTTGTGCACTTGGACATTCTTGTCGCATAACATGGGTTTTGATGAAAGTGTTTTTGAAACCGAACTTAGTTTCTTTTCTTTATGAATGATGGAGAATACTTTCCAATTTACATATTTTAGGAAACGTAATTAGGGTTTTATTTTATAGGTCTTTTTAGTATTTTATGTTATTTCTTAGTTGTTTTCCTTCTCAAATAGGTTACTTGAAACCGTATGTAAAGAGGGTTCCTGCATTGTAATGGTTGAAAAAACCATATTTCTCCCTCTTATTTCTCTTGATTCTCTCCCCTTCTCTCTCTCTCTCAGCCTTCCATCTCTAGTCTCATACTCGTTCGTTGCATTCAATGTCAATGAAGTTGTATATGACAGCTGTCCACTGTATTTGCTGCAGATTCGTGTCTCCGCTGTTCTCACTAATGGAGCATATCTTTTGAATGTTGATTGTGATCACTACTTCAACAATAGTAAAGCACTCAAAGAAGCAATGTGCTTCATGATGGATCCCGCTCTTGGAAAGAAGACTTGCTATGTCCAGTTTCCACAGCGTTTTGATGGCATTGATTGGCATGATAGATATGCTAATCGCAATATTGTCTTCTTTGATGTAGGTGTCACTTGATTTCTTGCGTCTGTGATATTTTGTGGAGCCTTTACATAATTAATTTTGTATGGTCCTCTGCTGCAGATCAACTTGAAAGGTCTGGATGGCATTCAGGGACCAGTCTATGTGGGAACTGGATGTTGCTTTAACAGACAAGCTTTGTATGGGTATGATCCTGTCCTAACTGAGGAAGATTTGCAGCCAAACATTATTGTCAAAAGCTGTTGTGGATCAAGAAAGAAAGGAAAAAATGCCAATAAGAAGTACATGGATAAGATGCAAGCAATGAGAAGAACTGAATCCACCATTCCAATCTTTAACATGGAGGATATTGAAGAGGGTCTGGAAGGTAGGACTCCATGATAGGCTTAACTACTTCTATAATGCATTACATGTCACTGGGACAAGGAAGCCAAGCCACTATTCAATGATCGACTTTATTTGTTTCATTTATATTGATACTTAAACCCACTGACATTATGTACTTCTGGGTTCTCTCTGTCCCTGTGGTAAATGTTTTCTGGAGAACTCAAACACTTAAGTAGATGGATTATATAATGTACTGCAACAACCTCGCTAAGTTTGAAACCTAGCTCAATACTGTTTAAACTTAATTAACTTATTTACCTTCCACTCTTTAAAAATGAATTCGAGTTTTAGTAAGTTTAGCTTCTGACTTGAATGAAATTCTTGTATTTTGTAGGATATGATGATGACAAGTCACTTCTCATGTCTCAGAAGAGGCTAGAGAAGCGGTTCGGTCAATCAGCAGTTTTTATTGCTGCCACCTTTATGGAACATGGGGGCATTCCACCAACAACAAATCCTGCTACTCTTTTAAAAGAAGCAATCCATGTTATTAGCTGTGGATATGAGGATAAGTCTGAGTGGGGCAAAGAGGTAGTGTGCTAATTCCCGCTACTCGTTTTTTGGCGTCTTGTGTCGAGACTTGTCTCTTACAGATGATATGTGCATTTTGAAATACTAACTCAATTCAACTTTACTATTTGATATCAGATTGGTTGGATTTATGGTTCTGTTACAGAAGATATCTTAACTGGATTCAAGATGCACGCACGAGGATGGATTTCAATATATTGTATGCCTCCTCGTCCAGCATTTAAGGGGTCTGCTCCCATCAATTTGTCAGATCGTTTAAATCAGGTCCTTAGGTGGGCTTTGGGATCCATTGAAATTCTTCTTAGCAGGCATTGCCCTATATGGTATGGCTACAACGGAAGACTGAAGCTCTTGGAGAGGCTGGCATATATCAACACCATTGTTTATCCCCTCACCTCTATTCCATTGCTCGCTTATTGCATTCTGCCAGCTATCTGTCTTCTCACTAATAAATTTATCATTCCAGAGGTATAAGCAAATTTTACTTGCTTTTCGTCTTATTTGCATATGGTACTTATCCTGTTTTTGGAAGCACGAGATTTATGTCCCAATGCATGTAATTCTCGACTTTTTGCTAGATGGCTTTTATGAATATATATAATGCTTCTGCAGATAAGCAATTTTGCTAGCATGTGGTTCATTCTTCTCTTTGTCTCCATTTTCGCCACTGGAATACTGGAAATGCGGTGGAGTGGTGTCAGCGTCGAGGATTGGTGGAGAAATGAACAATTCTGGGTCATTGGTGGTACGTCTGCTCATCTCTTCGCCGTCTTCCAAGGTCTCTTGAAAGTACTCGCCGGGATCGATACCAATTTTACCGTCACTTCGAAGGCATCCGATGAGGATGGAGAATTTTCAGAGCTTTACGTGTTCAAATGGACATCCCTACTCATTCCTCCCACCACTGTCCTTATTGTGAACATCATAGGAATTGTTGCTGGTGTTTCATACGCCATTAACAGTGGATACCAGTCGTGGGGCCCTCTATTTGGGAAATTGTTTTTTGCTATGTGGGTTATTGTCCATTTGTATCCTTTCCTCAAAGGTTTGTTGGGCCGGCAAAATCGTACTCCTACCATTGTCATCGTCTGGTCAATACTCCTTGCGTCCATTTTCTCCCTGCTCTGGGTTCGAATAGACCCATTTACATCGGAGGCCACAAAGAGAGCTGCACAGGGTCAATGTGGTGTCAATTGTTAGGTACTTTGAAACACCATTTTATTTACGCAAGCTCCATTTCTGCACCTCACACTAGCCTTTTTGTGTATAGACAGACAAGAAACTAAAGTGAGTACTTGGAAGGAGCTTTCCTAAGTTAATGTTGTAATATTTAACTTTGTTGGGAATGAACGGTGGATAAATTCATTACACATGTAATTGTCATTCCATTCATACTGTTTTATGCCGCCTGTCATTTATTATAGGGTCATGCTATGTGTACATAGATGTACACATAGGGGTTGACATAATGTGAGTGAGATGTCCCATGCTAATGCTATCGTTGCATGGGCCACACCCCTCACATTATGTCACCCTCTATGGATTAATTTATGTACGCATAGATTAATACTTTATTATATTACTTGTTTGGACGACCTTTGGTAGTATTGGGGTGTCACAAACATTGATTGTTTTTTCTTCATAAATACAATATATCCTTCGCTACTTCGCATTCGGGGTGAATAAAAAAATCGTCAACCTGTTGAAATCACGGTTTTAAAACTGTTGATTCGAAAATTATTCAGTTTGGTTTTAACATTTCAAAAACTAAATCAAACCGCTTGGAAATAGTATGTCAAATGCACTATAATGGTAACTTACAAACAAGGAGTACCGATCCTTAAACGACTTATAACAATGAGCACTTCTCCTTAATAATAATCGAGTTTTTAGGTTTAGTGTTTGATAGTTAAAGATCGCTTGAAAATGAATATAACCATTCAACCAATTTAAATAAAGAAATTATTTGTTTTACCCCCACGTACTATTTATTAGTTTAAGTAATGCTCCGAGATATTTAGTGGGGTTTATTCAATTAAGACTTTTAATGGCTTTTTGAAATTTAAAATTAAAATTAAAAAGTTTATACACTTTTAAAAAGTCTCTAAAAGTCATGGTGTATTCAATTAAATTTTTTTTACTAGTATATATAAATCTTTTGATATTCAAATTTTTATAACTTTTAGAAACTTCTATAAAAGTCTCCATGGTACTAACTTCTAAATAGAAAGTACTAAAATAAAATATCAAAATTTGTCTCTCATTACTCACAAGATTTTGGGAGACTTTCAATAATAATAATAAAAAGATTAATATATATGTTTTTGCAATATTTCTCTTTCCTTTTTCCACATTAGAGTTATGATTAAAATTTATTTGTTTCTATTGAGTATATTATATTATATTTTTGTTTTTCTCTTTCTTATTGTTTTATTCTATTTTTTATGAAAGAATTAAAATGTATTATTATAACTTTTTTTTCTTCTTTTTTCATTCATTTTTTCTGAAAAATATATATTTTTAATTACATTATAAAATTTTATATATACTAATTTATAATTAAATTTAAATATTTTTTTTATTCTTTAAAGGGATATTATATTAATAATACTGAATATTAAATTTATTTTTATATGTATAATAATTATTATTTATTTAGTTAAAGTCTTAAATTTTTATTCTTTTAAAAATATTTTTTTATTATATGGAGGGATGGGGAAGGAGAAGAAAAATTGTGAGAACAACCACCTCGTATGTGATATTTCACAATATTGCAATAGATTCACATAAATTCTATTTCAAATGAAAGTTTTCAAAAGTTTTGAAATCTACAAAAGTCTATAAAAGTTTTAAAATGAAAGTCTATAAAAATCTACAAAAAACTTCCACTAATTCCATACAAATCTCAAAAAAAATCCACGAAATTCATAAAAGTCATCACTTAAAAAAAGTCTATCAAAATCTTCAAAAGTCTCAATTAAATACACCCATTTAATTGCTACTCCATTCTTATCGAGTCTTTAGAAAAATAATAATTTATAATTAAATTTTCTTGTGAATATGTAAGCTTAAATTTTATACCCTTTAAACTTTGAGAGACCCGTCAGCATAATTATTTTTCTTATCTATTTCAATTTAAGAGCTTGTTTGAGCCTCGTTTTTAGATAAAAATATATTTTGATATAGTATTTTGATGAAGATTATGTGGTTGAAAAATAAGAAAAAATTTTGAATTTACGTATAATATTTATTTTATTAAAGAATTTGTAGTTGAAATTAAGAGAAAAAAATGTATTTTAGAAATAATGGGACCAAACAATGGCTAAGTGTTGTATTGAGAGATCGATCATCGTTGTTTGAAACCAAACCAAACCAATCTACAAAAAACGATTTAACTTTGCTTGAAAATTTTCCTAGCCATTTAAAATAATTTGATATAAAAATAATTAAAATCCATCTAAATCACTTGTCATTTTTTATTAATCATATATCACTTGTCTGGGCTCCATTAAATGGAAATTTGGGTGAAAATAAGTTTTGGAATAATAATTTTTTGGAGAATGCGTGGTTAAAAAATATGATAAAATTGTTTGTACACCACGTGTACGTACACTGTCTCACATGAATAGTGTGTGAGACCCCCCTCCATGTGAGGGAGTGTAAAAGATTGTGTGAATGATTATGTACATGTAGTATGATTGTAAAAAATAATAAAAGAATTCTGATTTATATATAATATTATTTTATAAAAAAATATGTAATTGAAAATGAATTTTGAAAAAAAAAAATTTAAGCTAATGAAAAGATAGGGTCAAACATAGTCAGTGTAATCATGTTTATTCAACACGTTGACAATAATAGAAGTGGAGACGAAAAGATTGTGTATGCTATGTTAAGTGGGTTGACCACTTCCGCTTCCACTTCCACTTCCAATGACCTAAAATCTATGATAAATAGATTTCGACACAAGTAAAACAACTTGGCTGCTTATCCTATTCCACGATGATATAATATGACACTTGTTTTTTTATTTTATTTTTTTATGTACGTATAAAATCAATGAAATTTTATCTATTGTCCTTGTATAATACACTTCAATACTGTATAATAAATATATACTCACTCCGCTCCAATTATGTAGGCTGAGTTTCCTTTTTCTTGCTCCGAATGTATAGGCCTGTTTTCTAATATAGAATATTTTGTTATGTTCTTTTACTATTGAGTAATGTTATTCATCTTTACTGGGGATGAAAACACAATTTAGATGGCGTTAATGTGACATTAAATGATAATCTAGACTATGTTTTCATCCCCAATAGGGATGAGTAACATTACTCTTTACTAATAAACCCTTATTAAATTTTCCCCACTTAATATGCAAACTTCTTGAAAATTCAAATTCTTTATTAATTCCAATAATAATTTAGTTTTACACACTAATAACTAAATAAGGATAAATTATGAAAGATTTTGGTAAGAATTAATTTTTCAATGACATTAAATAAGCTTTCTTAATCCGTGTGAAAAACTAAACAAGTCTGTATAATTGAGACGGAGAGAGTATTTACTATGCTGTTGACAATCGTACAAGTAGAAATGTCAAAATATACTGAATTCTTAGTACCGACAAATCGTACTAAATCTAGTTAATTTTATGCATATTGAAATAGACTTGGCACGCCTGAAAAAGGGTCGTTCTGATTTACGCAAACGTGTACGTGTTATGTAACGAAGATGAAATCCACTAACTTATAATTGGGTCGGTTGTCATCTCTTCCTTTAGGAGCCATTAGTTGATGATTATTATAGCATGCTTATCACGCACCCAAATTATCGATACCAACTTTTCATACTTATAATAATCTTTTTAAAAGTGTTTTTACTTAGATTACGTGAACCTCTAAATCACTTAAAAGTTAAAAATAATAAGTAACATTTTTTTATATATCATGACATTGGGTACACTATAATAAATTATGTAATCAAAGAAGTAAATGGATATCTCAAATGGCTTGCATTGCAGTAGAAAGATAAGAGTTTACTTCGAAGTTCGAACCAATGACAAATCAAATTCATGCTACAATCTCAATCACTTATCCAAAATCTACCATTTCCACTTCCCAATCCAACTATAAATTTGAGACAATGTGATGAAGGAAGGAGTATCAGAATTCATTCCTTCAGATGGGTTTTCCTTTTCGTTTTCGTTTTCGTTTTCGTTTTCCAGTCATAGTCATGGCAATTGTCGTCGTCCGAATAAGTATCGTCCAAGGGGATATAGGCACCGCGACTTCATACAATCCTCCATACACACGTAAGCATGCATATGCCTACGACTTGAATGATTCCAAGTAAAATGTTACATTATCAAATCTTAACACGATCGAGTTTTTTATGTTTTTCTTTTCGTGTGCAGCCACCAAGTGCCATGGCAATAGGCAGGATCAATTCCCACCAGGAAATCTGTTTGTATCAGTGAACGAGGGATTGTGGGACAATGGGGCTTCATGTGGCAGGCGTTACAGATTGAGGTGCTTAAGTGGACGAAATAATAGGCCATGCAAGGATGGCACCATAGATGTTATAGTGGTGGATTTTTGCTCGAGAAGGCCATGTCCATCGACCATGGTCTTGTCTAACGATGCTTTTGCTGCTGTTTCGCATTCTCCCAATGCTAAAATCAACATTGAATACATCGAGTATGAACCTGTTGATCCTTCTTTTCTTGTTTCGTCTTCTCCTTCCACTTGAAACCATACTGATGATTAATTTTACCGCTTTTGCAGGGTTTAATCAGCAGGATTCACAATCAGCTCGATACGTAGGAAAAATTCTAAACTATGTTATATGTATTGCTCTCCAGTAATTACTGTTATCAATTGCAGAAATAATATTTTATTTGTACTGAGAAGAATATAACAGGTAATTAGAAGCCGAAATATAAACTATCTAGAATTACAAAAGGGAAGAAACTTTTAAATCGAGACATGTGTAAACACAGTTTCTTTAAAACAGATTCACTCCCTCTCCTTAAAACAGTTTCCTTAAACCAGCAGGATCTGCGCACAGTAGAAACTACTCCGGCGAATTGAATATATATCAAAACACTACCACCAAGACTTTTGACAAAAACTGAAAATACTGAAAACAGAGAATCAGGAAAACAGAATTCGGAAGTTTTGTATTCTGAGAATCTGGGAGAATTTCATGTGTAATGGAGGAAAAAGACGCATTAATCCGACTGTTAATCTCTCCATTAACATAAACGTAAATACGGAGTTTCAATAGTTTTATAACATCAAAGGTCAGTCGTGTGCGCAGGTCTCTCGCCACACAGAAGTTTAAGGTCCAATGTGCACTTCGGTCCGGAATTTGCACCCTCCCGCATGCGCTTCCAAAGTGTAATCATATATAATGTAAGGGAATCGCCCTCATTAA